AGCACGTCCGTACAGTACAACACACACGAGCTGAGTGAGAGGAACAGGAACAGGAAGTGTACACCATAATAACATGGAGCCTGCCAAGGAGGCTATGAGTATGAGAATTACTGGTTACATAAGTGGTGCCCTGATCGAGGCTATATACATATGAGAAATCTTCAGAGCACATCAGGCATACTTAAAGCTATATTTACAAGTAGAGAAATTGCATATTACAACAACCAGTAGTTCAGTTACGCTCGGCTATTTCTATCACTGAGATTAGCTGTAAGTAACTGAATGTTGGCCTGTGTCTAGACTCAGTAGCGTGTGTGTAAAATACAGTCACATAACTTGTGTCGGTCAGACAGTATCAGCCTTTCCAAGCTTATAAATCGCTACTGCCAGTTGCTGATCACTGCTGATAGTGGTGTGCCGTTCATATTCAGTAACCGGAGCGTCGCCTAATTCAGCTAAGTTAGCTTAATTCAGCTGATGCAGTTAATGTCAGTCAGCCGCAGATGGCGGTTAGGTCACGTTGGAAATACACTCTACCCTACTCTATCCGCAGAGGAACGGACTCATAGCGTAGTGGTCTAGAGTGCTGGCCCACAGTCCGAAGTTTGATGGTTCCAATACTTGCGTTTTCTTTTTTTGGAATGAAATGAAACTCAGTTATACTCAGTTCTGTGTGACCTAATTTAAGTAAGCGGTACGGCACTTAACTCAGTTACCGTCAGTATTGTTTTAACTGTAAGCAGCTGTTGTCACGTTTTTTCAGCTATAATTCTGGACGGCCTGTCAGCTATTTTCAGTTTTCAGCAAAAATACGCCTGAGAATCAACAAACTATGTCGACACTTAAAACCTACAAGCACGGAGATCGTGGTGTCTCCGTATAAACCCGTAGTTCCAGGCAGCTCCGTACAGACACGCAGTTCAGCGGGTCCCCGTATTACGTCGTAAGTGCTTGAAAGTCACTTCTGATATATCGCGCTTCAAAGTTTTAGATTTACATTGCGCCTTATGGGCGGCTGGATTTTCAGACCAGAATTACTTTTGAACTAATTGACATATCGAAATGCGGTTTTCGCTGACCGATAGCCCTTGGTTTCCTCTATCCGACGCACTTCATAACTCGAAATTTTCAAAAAACATAGTTACGACGCTGTACGGCGGCCTGCTGAACTCCGTGTTTGTACCGAGCCCCCGGGAACTGCGCGTTTATACGGAGCCTCCACGAATTCCATGTGTAGAGGTTTCAAGTGTCGATGTCTGAAACACAGCTAAAGGTGTCTCGATCAGTTAAAGTAATCACCTTAAGTCGGCTCTCCCTCAGTAGCAATTCAGTTTTTAAACTAGCTATATGTACGCCAGACCACGCCTCGCGTAACAGGCTTCGCGATATATCACGAAACACTGTTACGCTGCGACTCGCCTGGCGCACATATAGCTAGGCCTGCGGCGCTGACACCCCAGGCGAGTTAAATTTTACGATTTAATAGTCCATTTTGTCGTTTTCACCTTATTTTCGCCAAGAAATGCTCCCTAGCTCCCAAACGGTGCGAGATAGAGCAAAACGGACAAAATTTTCGCCCAAAGGGCTCTACTTTAACGAGTTACCCCTCAGAAGCCCATAAAAAA